TTTGAGCAAAATTCCCCGAACTGAGAATGAACAGGCGGATTCACTCTCTAAAATCGCCTCTGATAGTTCTTCACATTCCAGATCAGTCTTTGTGGAGGTCTTAGATGAACCAAGCTTCATGAAGCCGCGAGTGATGGAGATCAGCACCAACCCAGGCACACCGAGCTGGACAGACCCAATCCTTTCGTTCTTACGAGATGGGATAGTACCTGAGGACAGGCAGGAGGCAATGAAGTTGAGGAGGAAAGCATCCCGATATACACTTGTTGATGGGGTTCTCTATAAGCGATCTTTCTCTCTACCTCTTCTACGGTGCTTAAATCCCTATGAAGCAGAATATGCACTCAGGGAGGTACATGAAGGTGTTTGTGGAAGTCACGTAGGTGCCCGAACTTTGGCTCATAAAGTCCTTAGATAGGGTTATTACTGGCCAAACATGTACAAGGATGCCACTCTCTTTGTTCAGAGATGTCTGAAATGCCAGTTCTTTGCGCACTTGACTCACCAGCCTGCAGAAGAGCTCACTACTCTGCTAGCACCATGGCCATTTGCTCAGTGGGGGTTGGATCTTCTGGGACCATTTATAAAAGGGGTTGGTGGTGTAACCCACTTAATTGTTGGTGTAGATTATTTCACAAAGTGGGTTGAAGCTCGGCCGATATCCAGTCTTACTTCTAAGAAGGTTGAAGACTTTGTTTTCAGCTCCATTATCTGTAGATATGGGATCCCGAATCAGATTGTGGCTGATAATGGAACTCAATTTAACTGCACCTCTTTTCGAGATTTCTGTTCCAGCTATGGGATTAAACTACAGTTCACCTCGGTTTACCATCCAGAGTCCAATGGCATGGTCGAATCTGTTAACAAATGCATCTTAGAAGGTATAAAGCCGAGGCTGGAACAACACAAGGCCAAATGGGCGGACGAGATCAACAACGTCCTCTAGGCATATAGAACTACGAGTCGAACTGCCACAGGTATTACTCTACACCGGGCTTATTCGGTTAATTTTATATTGCTTTACTTCTTCTGCTACAATTTTACCTTAGAACAACTATGCATAACGTGTAAAGCGCATTTTAAAGATATAATCCACTGAAATAGGTGAAACACCCTATCATCTGGCCTTTGGAACCGAAGCAGTCATTCCTGTCGAGATAGGAGTTCCAAGCTTCAGAGTCACCCATTTCGATGAAGAACGGAATGGACAACTGCTTCGGGAGAACCTTGATCTGCTTGATGACCTCAGAGAAGAAGCACGACTTCGGACTCTAGTCTACAAGCAGAAAATAGCAAACTTCTACAACAAACGAGTTCGACCCCGAACATTCAAACTAGGAGACCTTGTCCTCAGGAAAGCTGGTCTGACCGGGTTCGAAACTCGATTTGGCAAGTTGGCGCCGAACTGGGAAGGACCCTACACTGTCGCCGAAGTGCCACACC